GCCAAACGCTTCATACTAGCCAGGAGTTCGCAAGTTCAGATGATCCGAATCCGTTTACCAATCAAAGCAGTCTTCAGCGGATTGGTTCTGGAAGATGAAAGAGCTGGTGATGCAGAGGTTCGGCTAGCTCATCCCGAGGGTCGCGTAGATTTGAGGTCTGCGAAGCATAGATTCGAAAGCCACCAGAAACCATTTGGGAGAGCGGCCTTAAAATTCTGGCCTCTCGTGCGGACGATGGTCCGCACCATGCGCGGGCGTCATGGCAAGGAGGAAGGCCGCTTTGCCAAATTTTTCTTGACGTGGTTGTCCACAGAATCAGCGCTTGTATTGGCGATGATGGCAGATGCCGGTGACGAAACCCATTCCCTTGTGCAGCGATTCGACTCAGAAGATTTTGATCCAGCTAAACTCGCTGGATGGGTGCATGATTACTTGGACCGCATACGAGCGCTCTACTTCGACGGTATATGCCTGCACAGTGGTTATACCAAAGTGATGTTGAAAAATCTCGCCAATGGTGGTCGGTACGTGTTCGCTCTGGATGGGCAGCCGAAACAGATTGGGACGCCTACGGTGGGGGCGACGCCAGACATTGTGGGTCGCGCGCTCGGCCGAATGCAAGCTTGGGTCTTGGAGGCCGAATCCATAGCATCAGCTGAGTTTCCAGAGTTCGAAGTGATTCAAAGTTTTGTCGGGTTTGATCTGGGCCAAATGGAACATTTATCTATCGACGATTTTCGGTTATTTCTGGCAGATGGCGGGGCGGCCCATCAAAGGGCTCCGACGTTTGGCGCAAATTCTGAATTTGGACTTTGGACAGTTGTGGAGCGAATACACGCAATATCTCACATATGCTCGTGAATATCATGGCCAGCATGCTTGCAGTAACCTAGAGGCTTGGACGTCAACCACTACTTCAGACAGGCGCGGACGACAGCCAGCAGTCTTGAGAGCCATTCTTCTTCGATGCGCATCATGGTGTGCATCTAGCACTGGCGTGGAGCGGCTGTTCTCACATGGGGCCACGAAGGGGTCTTCTCTTGCATGATCACACTCTTGATGAAATGGAAATTTTCAGTGCAAAAGATAAGAGGGAATGGCCAGCAATAGTGAAATCCGCCAAGAGGCTTTTCTCAATATGGTTCGGCAGCACTCGGACGTCTGCTCCGAAGAAGCGCCGCCTACTGCAAAGTGGGGCAGCGAAAGAAAGCACTGAGAAAGCCTTCGTTGACCACCGGCGAGCAGCTGTGTCAAAGTTCACCGCGGAGGCCACGGAGCGTGCACAGATCCCAGATGCAGCGTCACATGCAGCGCGGACGTCAAAACATGTCAAGGAGAAATATTTCAATGAGTCAAAGTATGTGCAAGAATATTTAGATGCAGCGGAGCATGGTGTTCTTTTACAGGAAGAGCGAGTCGAGGACCTTGGCGCAGCAGTTCTGCGTCGACAACAGATTGTATGCAAGGCTGATGAAAGGCTTCAGAAAGAGGCCGTCAAAAAAAACTTGGCACCTCGACGTCATGTTGGCCCTTCTTTGGTCGGCCGATGTGCTTTCATCGACTGCAAGCTCTCGGATCAGGTGTCGCGTGTTTTGAAAGCGTTTGTACCCCGCGCCTGGCCTGTATCTCACGCCCCCTGACCCCCCCCCTCATAATGTAACTCCCTCCTCCCAGTTCCTGCCCAGCGCAGATGGATGAGGGGGGGGCGTGCTGCCCAAATCCAGATTTGTTCCCTTCGCTGCCCTGTATATTTCTTTATCCTCCCCCTCCCCCTCTCCGTAGGTCCCCCTTTCCCCCCGCAAATCCCCCTCCTCCTCTTCAATGTCACTCCTCCTATTCCTCCTGCTTTTGTTCCGTCCTCATCCTCATCCTCATCCAACCCATCCCTCCAGCAACCAAGTCACGCAGCAGCACCACCAGCAACAATCACACTGCACCATCGATAAGAGTACACGCAGCACCGCCAACAACACCAAACACATCACCACCAGCTGCAAACAATACGAACAGCACCGCAACTAATAGGTCCCTACCTAGGCTCTGCCTAGAGGGTTCTTACTTTCTGTGCTTAAAGGGGCCGGGCAGTGCTAACCGCCGCGGGCGGTTCCCCCAGTCCACGCCCCGCGGTTCCCCCAGTTGCGCCCCCTGGGTGAGCATAGCTTAGCTTAGCTTAGCTTAGCTTAACGTAGTTAGCTTAGCTTAGCTTAGCTTAGCTGAGCTTAGCTTATCTCATCTTAGCTCAGTTCAGCTTAGCTTAGCTTAACTGAGCTTAGCTGATCTTAGCTTAGCTTAGCTTAGCTAAGCTTAAGCTTAGCTTAGCTTAGCTTAACCTAGCCTAGCTTAGCTTAGCTTAGCTTAGCTTGGCTTAGCCTAGCTTAGCCTAGTTTATCCCATCTTCGCTTAGCTTAGCTTAGCTTAGCCTAGACTAGCCTAGACTAGCCTAGCCTAGCTTTGCTTAGCTTAGCTGAGCTCATCTTAGCTTAGCTTAGCTTAGCTTGTGCTGCTTTCCCGGGGGCTCCAACTCCTAGGTAGGGTCGCACTGAGATACCTTTGATACCATGAGGAAGGCAATCGTGAACCCATAGAAGGTGGGGGGGGGGCATTCGTGACACCATGATGGGGGGCAGTCGTGAGACCATGAGGGGTGACAGCAGTGAAACCATGCGGGGAGACACTCGTGAAACCATGACGGGGTGAGCTTCCTGGGATTTTCTGGCGTCCCTCTCTACCAGACTTTCCCCAGTCCCCTTCCCTGGGTCTCAGGATTGCCCCAAGTTGGATCCAATACTGGTTCTCCCTGGGTGCCTCCTTCTCTGCCATTGCTGGACGTGGCTCGAACAATGAAGGCGGACAGGGCTGCGTCAGGGTCAAAGTGTTTGTGCGTGAAGTGCAATCGCTTTCCGACAAGGAAACTACATATATTGCAAAATGTGGTCTGGTGAGGACTATGAATAGGGACGATGCGACCGTCTTCGTTGTGCGGAGTTTGGCAGATACCGTTGGATTTAAAACTCGGCTCTGCGTGGCGCTGGGCGGTGGCACGGTATGTGATGTGGCGTACTTGAAGAAAAAGGCCAGATCCAATGATAAAGGCGGTGTTGCGATGACTTACATTTCTGCTTTAAAGACAAAGCGCTTCGTTTGGATTTCCGACAAATTCATTGACCTCAACCCGACATGTACTGCGATCATCCTTAGCAGAATTGCACCGTCAAACGGGAAATGGAAAGCAGTTGTGTCCAAGGCTGATATTCTTGAGAAAACTAACAAGGCATCCACGCGTTCTCAGGCCCTGGCGTTTGTATCTCTTGCCGAGCAGCAATTAGACGAACTCAGGAATGTCAGGGTTAAGCTCGCCCTGCGAGAGATTCCAATTTGGTTTGCGAATCTAGATGCACGGGGGTCGTATGTTCTTGAGAGCTAAGAAGGCACGTGGGGCGCGCCTCTCGGAAAAACTGGAAAATGCTCCTGTGGTGACGTCCATTGATGCTGCTATTCATCCTCCTCCTCCTCCGCCCCACGGTACGTAGTGGTGGTGGTAGTAGTAGTAGTAGTAGTAGTAGTAGTAGTAGTAGTAGTAGTAGTAGTGGTGGTAGTAGTAGTGGTGGTAGTGGTAGTAGTAGTAGTGGTAGTGGTAATGGTAGTGGTAGTGGTAGTGGTAGCGGTAGTGGTAGTGGTAGTGGTATTGGTAGTAGTGGTGGGAGATATGTAGGGGGTCGCGCGCGCGGCCGTGCAACAAGTACGACCAGCTCGAGCAGGATCGCCCTGCTGCTGACCCACCGCCGGTGAGGAGGATAGTGATGAGGAGCGGGATGTATGGATGGAGGGTGGAGGAAAGGATGATGAGGGATGTGGGGAGTTAGATAGGGGGACTGATGGAGGACGAAGAGGAGGAGGGAGGAAGAGGAGGGAGGGATGATGATGAGGGGAAGGGGATGAGGATGATGAGGCGTTTCCTGACCCTGAGGGGTCACGATCCGACCGAGCGGACCTAGACTCGGCAGGCGGGGGCGTCCTGGAATGCTGAGTCTCGGAGACTCGGCAGGCGGGGGCGTCCTGGAATGCTGAGTCTCGCACTCGATATCGAGAGACTCGGCAGGCGGGGACGTCCTGGCATGCTGAGTCTCGCGCTCAAAAGCGAGAGACTCGACAGGCGGGGACGTCCTGGCCTGCTGAATCTCGGCGCCTTGCCCGCCACAACGCCGATATGTTCAGTATGTGCGTTAATTTCCTAGGCCCTGCTGGGTCTCGGTCCGACCGAGCGGACTGAGACTCGGCAGGCGGGGACGCCCTGGCCTGCTGAGTCTCGGTCTGCCAACTAAGAAAATCAACCGATTTTTCTCTCGTCAGGGCTGGGCGGTACGATTTGCGATTTGTCGGACCCAGACTCGGCAGGCCGGGGCGTCCTGGCCTGCTGAGTCTCAGTCCGCGTGGTCGGACCTAGACTGAGCAATCCGTGGCTCTGGTCTGGTCTGGAGGGGCGCCCCCAAGCCGACAAGTTGATGCGGTCTACTCGTCATGTTCAGCACTGCTGCCTTAATGGTTGCTTCATTCCTCCCTCCTCCGCCTCCTCCCTCTCTTTCCTTGCCCCTCCCCTCCTACCCCGCCCGTCATCACCTTCCCTTCTCCTTGCTCTTTCTCCCCTCGCCACCTTTTACTCCCCCTATCCTGCTCCTCCTGCTCCTCCTGCTCCTCCTGCTCCTCTTTATGCTTCTCCTCACCCTCGGCCCCTTCTCCCCGCCACCCTCTCAAATCCCTGTCTCTTCAATTTCATGATTGTCATTGCAATCGCATCCTCATCATCACCATCACCATCATCATCATCATCATCATCATCATCATCATCATCAACATCATCAGCATCAGCATCAGCATCAACATCATCAGCATCATCATCACCACCACCATCATCATCATCGTCATTGCCATCATCATTGTCATCATGGATAGCGTTTTTGATATCAAGGTGTTTTGGATCCTCTCTTGATTCCTTGGAGGATATGGGCAAGCGTCCGTGCCCGCCCAAGGAGGCGACATCCAGGGCTAAGGCCAAAGCCTCCCCGAAGGTCAGTGCACTGCCGGGGCCGCCGCAGCCGGCGGGCCTGATGGATGATGGCGACGCCGCCAGCAATGCCAAGTACCTGTCTGTGATCGATGAGCACGTCCAGCGGATCCTCAGCCACCACTTGTTCGAAGGTATTCGGGCGTTCGACCCGCTGCAGATGGGCGCCAACACTGACCGCCACAACGCCGTCGGGATGCGCAAGCCCATTGAGATTGGTGACGTGGTCAATGCCATGACTGGGGGCTCAGGCTCTGGAGCGGTCCCTGGCGGAGGCAACATCTTCCGGGTGATGTTCAATTTCCAAGCCAACCCTGGGGTCCCGATCAGCCTCAAGAAAGTGACCGAGCTGAGCGAGTACCACTACGCTCTTTGGGAGCGCCCGGGGCCTCCGTGCCTGCCCATTCACGCGTTCCTCTCTGCCAGCATCTCGGAGGAGACCCTCAAGGCCACGCTGGCTGCCGGGGAGCTGAAGCTGACTACGCCGCCGGAGTCCATCCACGCGTGGGTGATCGGCCTGGGGAACGCGATTGCCATGAATCGGCCAGAGAAGGATGCGGGATACCCCATCTGCACCATCCAGTGTGCTTTTCACCGCCCCTCTCTCCCACGACAGGGTGGGTGGAGAGGGGCGGCGAAAGAGACATTGGGTGGTGCTGATGGGGTATCCCACAGGAGTTGAAGCAGTGGTTGGAATACGCGCTCTCCGCGGAATTCACTTTCGCCAAACTGGAGTCCATGGGCGATGCTCATTTCTCCGCCGTGCGCTCGCGTGAGAACTTGAGTGTCCACAAGCGGCTCATGGGCCGCACCGCCCTCGGTCGCATCCTCGAGGTGTCAAGCTTCAAGTCTCGGAAGGAGAAGCTCTTGGGGCCGATGAGTTCCAAGGCAATCGAGATAGAGTACAAACAGCATTGCAACATCAAAGATCCCGAGGAGCAGGTCACGGCCAACTTTGTGGACAACGCCCTCACCATCGTCAAGCGCATGCTCTCGATCAGCGGAGTCATGACCATTCTGTCGGAAGCCGAGGACACCTGCGAGGCAACAGCCTTCGACAGCGTGAGCAAGCTGCACGCCGTCGTGTCGAAGGCGAAAACGCCAGCAATGATCATTTGGACAGTTCGGAGCTTGTGGGACGATCATAAATCCAAGACCCCTTTGAACAGAGTGGTTCCTGGAGTGCGCGACCTACTGGGCAAGACCACTGCTAAGGCAGAACCCAACGATCGCGTCGGCAAGGTTGAGGTGTGCTGCTTCAAGCACACGGTGAAGACCTACCTCACTTCCACTTGGTTGGACAACTCGGACTTGCCATCTCACGTCAAGGAATCCTTTCGCACGTCCCTCTCTGATCACGCCTCGTACCGCGCCAGCAACGGGCTCCCCGATGAGGAGGTGACTTATCTTGGAAAGCGTCCTTTTCAACTGCTGCTGATTCTTTCTATGGCATCTTCGAGGCGCTCATCTACAGCGACGCCTGCGATGAGGGGGCGATCAAGCCTGCGATTCGGGCCAAGAAGGCCGTGTCGGATATGTTGACCTCGCCAGGCCTTGAGGAGCTCATGAACGAGGCGGCGGAGGATCTCCAGAATGAGGCCAAGGGTGATGGCTGCGGGAACGGCGACGACGAGGACGGCGGCGATCTTCTAGACATGGGCGAGGCGGATGAGGTCCAGCTTTCCATAGCAATGAGCCCAGGTGCGACGGCGAACGAGGGCACCATTCAGACCCCTGTCAAAAAGCAGTCCATCAATCACCGCCTTCTGTTGAACCCTCACATGGCGCCGGAGACCGTGGAGCTGCTGAAGCCTTGCGACTCCGAGACGCTGGACAGCGTCGAGAAGGCGGCGTCCACCTTGATGCGCACGCACTTGGCTTTCGTTGAGGATAGCAGACTGACATCCAATACCATCCTTGCAGAAACGTCTCAGGTTCCCTACCTAGGCTCTGCCTTGAGGGTTCTTACTTTCTTGGCTGAAAGGGGTCGGGCAGTGTTCCCCCACCCCGCGCGGTTCCCCCAGTCCCCGCCCCGCGGTTCCCCCAGTGGCGCCCCCTTAGCTTAGCTTAGCTTATCTCATCTTAGCTTAGCTTAGCGCAGTTTAGCTCAGCTTAGCTTAGCTTAGCTTAGCCTAGCCTAGCTTAGCTTGGCTTGGCTTGGCTTGGCTTGGCTTAGCTTAGCTTAGCTTAGCATAGCTTAGCTTAGCTTAGACTAGCTGAGCCTACATCATCTTAGCTTAGCTTAGCTTAGCTTATCTTGGTTTAGCTTAGCTTAGCTTAGCTTAGCTCTTCTCAGCTTAGCTTAGCTTAGCTTATGCTGTTTTCCTAGGGGCTCCAACTCCTAGGTAGGGTCGCACTGAGATAATTTCCCATTTTGTTTTGCGGCACTGGGTCCATTTCCAAGGATGAGTTCGGACCTCAGTCTCTCAGAGGACGTCGCGGACGGCTCAAAGGACCAGCTCGAGGCGACTTTGGAGAAGGTCCACGCTGCCGTGTACCAGCCTGTCGCGCGGAAGACTCGCCAGGACGTCCCTGGCAATGTGCCAGGCTTCAGCACCCACGTCGGGGTGATCTACAGCGTCTCCTGCAGCGGCGAGGCCATAACAAATCCGAAGACGCGCTGCGCTCCCTACCGCAACGCCCACTACAAGCGGCTCATGCACATTGCCCTGAAGGTCCGAGGCAAAGCTTGCGGTGCGGACTACCAGGGCATCAACCCTGCGGACTACATCATCCTGTTCAACGGCAACAAGGACGGTCTTGATAACACCATGATGTCAGCCTTCAGATGCGAGGACGGGACCAGCATGCCGAGGAACAAGATCTCCAAGATGCTGCTCTTTGACGAGGAGACTGTCGCAGCGCGGATGGACCGCGTCAGGGGCACCATCAACCAGACCGAGACCTTCAACATCGTGGCTGCGGACCCCGTGGCGCTCGCAGTCAAGAAGAAGCTCCACTTCCCGGGGACTGCGCGCGGCGTGATTCTCGGCCCAGTCGCGCTGCCGAAGTACGACGACGCGGGCATCTTCAAGCTGACCCAGGCAGAGAAGAAGATCTTGTACGACAAGCACCGTACTGCAGTGGGTGGCCCGACCGATGATGGGCCCGACCCCGTGCCTGGCAAGGATGAGAGGATTCCGGTGTTCTACAAGTCCATCCCCCAGGACGCCGCCGAGGAGATCGCGCATTGCCTGGACTGGACCTCCCTGGTGGACCTCACGCCCAACCAGGGCGTCTTCGCCATGGTTGCGATAATGCTGAAGCTCTTGTGGGTGGGAGTGACCTTCAACAAGCTCCACGCGGATCAGGTGAAAGACTTCCTGCTCGCAGAGATCGTTCGGCAGTTCTTGGATGAAAGAGTTCCCTGTTCAGTCCTTTGCTTTCCGAGGCGGTGGCAAATTGCGCCAAAGACACGACGCCGCAGGACCCTGGGAAACAGGACCCCAAGAGGCGCAAGAAGACGAGTCAGCAGCCAAAGCAGCCTAAGACTGTGCCGAAAGTGAGTCAAGAGGGCGCTGGTGATAAGGAGGCGCTGCTTGCCAAGATCAAGGCCCTCACAGGCAGCGGCCCGAGCGGGAGCAAGTGCGCCGCCGTCGAGAAGGGCAAGGGCACGGATGAGCCGGAGGCAAAGGAGCCCGCCGATGATGAGGATGATGATCCAAGCCAGCACGACGACCGTGATGAGGATGATGAGGACGAGTGATCTTCTTAGAACCTCCGAGGGTGGCTGCGTGCTCTTTTCTTTTCTTTACGCACGTTTCTGGTCATCCAGCGGGCCTCGCAGCGATACGGCCCGCCTCGGATGCTGCTTCTGGGGCATGGATGTCACATGCATTGGCCATGATGTACGCTGCTAGCATTGCCAGGCAAGGTTGCCAACAATGTGCCTCACGTTCTGTGGTGGTCGGGGATCAGACTGGGAAGCACTGGACGTGCAGCATACGATACGCCATTTGGCGATAGCCACTGACAAAAAAAGAGCATCGTCCCCAACCCCATCACCATCATCAGCATCGCAGCCATGCCAATGTCCACAATCACCCAATGGAGATTATTAACATCGTGATCAACACCAACCATACCCCCCCCCCCCCATCACGACTATCCAGCATCATGGTTACCATCGTGGTCATGATCATCACCGTCTCGTCGATCATATTCGTCCATACTCTGTGCTGTCCATCAGCACCACCATCATCATTGTTATCATCATCACCGCATCATCCATAGCCAGTTTTGGCTCAAACTCACTTGCCATTCAATATCTTACGCAGTGGCAAGGCATTCGCGCACCATGGAGAGCAGAGCTGTTCGACGGCTCCAGGAGAGGGCGGCCATGCTGAGATCCCAACGCCTAGCTCGTAATGGGTTGTCTGCTGAGACCACGGGGAAGGCGACGCCGGCGAAGAAGCCAGCTTCTGCACCCAGAGCCGCAGTGATGAACAAACCTTCGGCCGCAGCCAAAACGAAGAGGAAGAGTTCGGAGCCTAAGCAAGTGCATACACATGTTATCAAGAGCTACGTCAAGGCGCGTGGCAAAGACATCACCCGCCTGGGCGGCGACTGCGATGGCCTCTGCTCTCACGCGGTGGCGCTGGAGATGATCATCGGCAAAGACAGGATCAGCCACGAATTCGCCAGCGAGATTGACCAACAAACCCGCGCCGTCATGCAGGCCAATCACGGCATCAAGAAGGTTTACCACTCATGCAAGACGGCTGATCGCACAGTCAGTCAGGTCCCCAAGGTGGACGTATATGCCGCGGGGCCCCCATGTCAGCCCTTCGCGATGGGTGGCAACCAGAGCGGGGAGGGTGACAGCCGGGGCCAGATCATCTTGGACTGCGCCGTCTACATCACCACTCAGAAGCCCGCCTGCTTCGTGATCGAAGAAGCGCCCACTCTCATGGGCAAACACAGGAAGACCCTGAACAAGTTCGTGGACCGCATCCGGCAGGGGGCCATCTCCAAGAATGGCGAGTCCCTCTACGAGGTGGAGTATCGCAAGGTGAACTCGGATGACCACGGGCTCCCGACCACGAGGGCTCGGACCTACATCGTGGGATGGTTGCGCAGCCGATCGAAGGGCCAAACGTTTGAATGGCCCACCACTTTACCACTGAAACGCGTGGCGGACTTCATCGACCCGACGCTGCCAGCCAACATCCCTACCGACATGACCTGCCTGAACAACCTCGCCCGCCTGCTTGGCGTTGTCAAGGATGCGGGCTACGACCTTGCGAAGGACGACATCATTTTGGACGTGTACCAGTCCGAGAACTTCGGCGACAATTGGCAAGTCGGCAAACTCCCGACTCTGACTAGGACCAGGGCGGGTGCCGGCGGCTACTACCTGACCCGCCACTCCCGCATGATGGACACGACCGAGATGTTGGCTATCCAGGGCTTCCCAAAAGGCCGCCTGAACTGGAAAGGTCTGCTCACGGAGAAGGGCCGCAAGGTGACGGATCGCCAGTTCAACCTAATGATCGGCAACACGATGAGTGTGCCCGTAGTCGGCCGTCTGATGCTCAAACTCCTCATCCTCGTCGGCAAGCTCGACAAGAGTACGCCCGACCCGTGGTGCGACGCAGTGTAGTCAAACGCTGGTGCGACACAGTGTAATTACATGCATCGGGCTGGGCACGCCCGCGTTGCGATGGAGAAGTGAACCATCGTCGTTATCACCTATTCTTGACGCTTCGCGTATCCCCACCTGGACCAATTCTTGATGCTTCGCGTATCCCCACCTGGGCGCTTTGCGTACCCCAGACCTGCCTCGGGGATCCCCTTGAGGCCTCCTGGGGGTCTCTTGGGAGCCTCTTGGAGGCCTTCTGGGGCCGTCTTGGCGCCTCTTGGGGCCATCTTGGGACGCTCTTGGGAACTTTCGAGGCGCTCTTGGGGCCCTCTTGGGGCGCTCTTGGGGGCCTCTTGGGAGCTTTTTCGAGGCCTCCTAGGGCCGTCTTGGCGCCGGGGAAGAAAGGGCAGAGTGAAGGTATACACCAATAAGGAATAGGAATCAAGCTAGCCAACTCGAGGGAGTCATCGGGCCTCGCCCATTCCCACCCGCCCTCCCACAACATAAGAAACAATGCTGGCACATCTGGGGGCCGACATCACATCGGCCAACTGGTTTGGCACACGGCGAGTTGGTTTGGAAACTAATGTGAACCCTTAACGGTGTCCGATTGGATTTTGAAGTTAACATCCGTTTTCCGCTGTCTCGCCGCGCTCGCCGAGGCTCGAGCGCGACGATGGCGCTAGCGGTGGCCCACCGTCTGCCTCCCCCCGCGCCCCCTGGCCTGCCGCACCCCGAGTACCCCTTCCCCACGTGGGGGGGGGCCGTCGTCCCCCCGCAGGCGCCCAGGCGCCCGCGGGGGGCGTGGCCTGGGCTGTCGGTGGAGTTGCCGGGGGAATGGGGCATGGATCGCCCTCCTTTCTGGTACTTCCCCGCGCGTGCGCGCGGGTACCCAGTGTACCCGTCGCACGCGTGGGTGCCGTGGGATGGCACGACTTTCGCGCCGTGGACGCGCGCCCAATGGCCGCCGCCGCTCCTGGTGCTGCTGTGCGTGGAAGACGGGTGCCCCCGACGATCAAAATAAAAAGGGGCACCCTCGCTCGCTCGGAACCCGTGCTCTCGCCTCGGCGCCGGCCACATGTCAATCGCAACCCCGACCCCCGCATGTACTTGCAATGCCAATGGTGGGTCCACGACGAGGACGACCTGGGGTTGGTGTACGTCTCGCTATGACGGAGGGGCGGGGGTAGATAGCAGTAAAGGAGGGGGAGGAGGAGGAGGAGGAGGAGGAGGAGGAGAAGGAGGAGGAGGAGGAGGAACAACAGGAAGAAAAGGAGGAGGATGAGAAGGGGGAGGAGGAGGAGGAGGAGGAGGAAGCGGAGGATGAGGAGGAGGAGGAAGAGGAAGGAGGATGGAGGCAACGAGGGAGGATGGATGACATGGATCAAACTGCGGGCGAGAGCTATTCACTCATATACTTATATAAGTTTGGGTCCATATTATAATTGTGCGTACATAAATATAGAATGCTTACATACGTATATACGTTATGAATTATGCTGATATGTATGCTGCACACGTGTATACTTATAGGTTTGCTTCTAGACGCGCAAATCTACTTATGTACTTATTATATTAGACTCGTAACCTTTTGGTTAGATACTTATGCATATTCACGCATATACGTATATAAGTATAGCTGTCATCCATCCCATATACTTATAGACAAGCCTTCCCTGTCGCGTCGCTAGGGCGGGCTGGGCGTTTCGCTTGAGATTTCTGTGCGATCTCAAAGCTTGAGACTTCCAACAATTGCACGGATGGAGCGCAGGTCGTTTCAACAAAGGGGGCCTATCACATCATCAATAGCTACACGGATGGGGGGGTGTCGTCTTCAAATGGTGGTATCGTCTTGGCGCGGCGCACATTCGTCTTACAAGTTTCCAATCTTTGCAGGGGTACACGTTTATGTCTTTCATAAGCCAAGTACTCCGTTGTGAATTCTGTTTGGTAAGCGGTACAAGTGGCCGCGTGGCCAATGTTCTCGTGTCGCGTGGCCAATGTTCTCGTGTACACGGTGGAATGGCCATGATCAGGAAGGAACCAAAAAACAGAAAAAAACGGCCTATGCACGGGCCAGTCCTCCTCCTCCTCCGCCTCCTCCTCCTCCTCTCCCCTCCTCCTCCTCCACCTCCTCCTCCTCCGCCTCCTCCTCCTCCTCCTCCTCCGTCTCCTCCTCCTCCTCCTCCTCCTCCTCCTCCTCCTCCTCCTCCTCCTCTCTCTCCTCCTCCTCTCCTCCTCCTCCTCCTCCTCCTCCTCCTCCTCTCTCCTCCTCCTCCTCTTCCTCCTCCTCCTCCTCCTCCTCCTCCTCCTCCTCCTCCTCTAAGCATGCGCAGCGAGGCTGCGAGGCCTGTGGGCGCCGCGGAGCCCGAAACCGCTCCGCCATGCATACGTGTACAAGTGGCACGTGTGTGCCCAGGCTCACACTAAAGACTGAAGGGGCGTTTGAAGCAGGGAGACACCATGACTGCGGGATCGGAGATGGAGAAGGGGAAGCTGGGGCAGCGCCGCCAGGGCGTGCCTAAGATAAGGGGAAGAGGCAGGAGGTGAACGCAGAAGAATCTAAGATCGAGGTCGCACTCGAGCGCAAGTGGGGTTGCCACACCTTGCGATGTGTGTACCAGGGCCCCCAAGGAAACTTCAGGAGGCCCGACTTGGATACCGGAAGAGGCTCCATGAGGCCCCGGGATTGTGAGTGGTGTGTGTGTGTGTGTGTGTGATGTGTGCTCTGTGTTGTGCGTGTTTTCTGTGCGCTGTAGGTGTTGTGCGTGTGTGTGTGTTAAGTTTGTCTAGCGTGTGATGTGTTGGGTGTGATTTGTGTCTCTGTGCGTGCATGTAATTCTGAGGCCCCAGGAGGCCCCAGGAGGCCCCAGGCGGCCTCAGGAGGCCCCAGGAGACCCCAGGAGGCTCCAGGAGGCCCCAAGAGGCTCCAGGAGGCCGCAGGAGGCCCCAGGAGGCAGGAGGCCCCCAGGAGGCTCCGAGGCAGGGTCTGGGGCACCAGAAAGCACAGAAAGCCCCAGGAGGCCCCAGGAGGTTCCAGGAGGCCCCCAGGAGGCTCCGAGGCGGGGTCTGGGGTACCAGAAGGTACGTCGGGGCTCGATTTTGGAAGGATGTCTCAGGCGAAATCGCCATTCTCTGAGAATCGGGGTCAAAATCATTGAAATTACAATGTGTGTTTGAAGGTTGATGTTAGAATGTTGATTTTCCCATGTGTGTTTGGACCCTGACGTCACGATCTGCGTGAGGGGTGCGACAATTTTTCCGAATTTCGAGGATGTCCCGAGCGGACGCGGCGCCCCGCGTGCGCATTAATCGCCTCTGAGCTCTACTCCCTCGGAGAGGTGCGCATGTGAATATACACATATATATATATATATATATATATATACATCTATATAGATATACATATTTAGATATATATGTATATATATATATATACAAGTGGCACGTGTGTGCCCAGGCTCATACCAAAAAAACTGAGAGGGTGTTCGAAGCAGGAGAAGGGGAAGAGGATCGCTGCTGGGAGAGGAATGCAATAGCCAGGTCGCACTCGAGCGCAAGTGGGGTTGCCACAGCTTGCGATGTGTGTACCAGGGCCCCCCAAGAATCCTCAGGAGGCCCGACTTGGATACCGGAAGAGGCTCCATGAGGCCCCGGGATTGTGGGTGTTGTGTGGTCGTGTGTGATGTGTGCTCTGTGTTGTGCGTGTTTTCTGTGCGTTGTAGGTGTTGCGTGTGTGTGTGTGTGTATGTGTGTGTGTGTGTGTGTTAAGTGTGTCTAGCGTGTGATGAGTTGGGTGTGATGTGTGTCTCCGTGTGTGTGTGTGTGTGTGTGTGTGCATGTAGTTCTGAGGCCCCAGGAGGCCCCAGGAGGCCCCAGGCGGCCTCAGGAGGCCCCAGGAGACCCCAGGAGGCTCCAGGAGGCCCCAAGAGGCTCCAGAAGGCTCCAGGAGGCCGCAGGAGACCCAGGAGGTTCCAGGAGACCCCCAGGAGGCTCCATGGCGGGGTCTGGCGTACCAGAAGGTACAGAAAGCCCCAGGAGGCCCCAGGAGGTTCCAGGAAGAACCAGGAGGCTCCGAGGCGGGGTCTGGGGTACCAGGAGGTACGTCGGGGCTCGATTTTGGGAGAATGTCTCAGGCGAAATCGCCATTCTCTGAGAATCGGGGTCGAAATCATTGAAATTACAATGTGTGTTTGAAGGTTGATGTTAGAATGTTGATTTTCCCATGTGTTTTTGGACCCTGACGTCACGATCTGCGTGAGGGGTGCCACCGATTTTCAGAAGTTCGAGGATGTCCCGAGCGAAACGGCCAGAACAATCGCGGACGCGGCGCCCCGCGTACGCATTAATCGCCTCTGAGCTCTACTCCCTCGGAGAGGTGCGTATGATAATATACATATACAAGTACACATGCATCTACCCATACGTGTATGTACGCCTACAACTAAATATACATACACAGATACATATGAATATAACTGTACATGCATATGGACACACATATATATATATATATATATGTATATATGTATATATATATACATATATATATATATATACACATGTACATGTACAAACCACTGCGAACGGGATGGCGTCGCTCCGCTCCGCGGGGCGGGGGGTCGGAAAAAGCTTGGGGCGTGGACGCCTGGGAATGGGGACACGGACAGCGCGTCGCGCCGAAGCGCGGTGGGCCAGAGCCAGCAGGGCGCCACGCTAAGCCAACATTCCCAACCATAGCCCGGATACCGACGGGCCCGAAATCCGTGACACCGCCCTTTGCCAGCTCGGCTCCGACCTGAAGGAGTCAGCCGCTGTGGAGAGGACGCCGTGCGAGCGCATGGACGACTCCACCCTGATGGAGGACGTACCGATGTTCTTGGGGGCGGCTGGCAGGCCCGCGCCGCTGGCCTGGTCCTGGTGGCAGGTCGCGCCGTCGCGAGTGTTTTTTTGTGTGCTTGTTTGTGTTTTTTGTTTGTGTGTGTGTGTTGTGTTTGGTTTAGTGTGTTTTGTTTTTTCCCACAGACCGTGGTGGCGTCCGCATCGGCAACGCTCGGCACGCACGGCTGCTTCACGGGGACGGCCGCGGCTTCCCGAGCTGACCAGGTTCTGCTCGGGCCCCCCGCTCTCGCTGCAGGAAGCAGGACGGTGGTCCGATTGCAATTGCTTCTGTCGTTCCTATTCCCTCCCCTCCACCTCCCTCCTCCCTCCTAAACCCTCCTCCTTCTCCGCCTCCTCCTCCTTCCCCTCCCTCTCCATATCTTTCCATGTGGGTCGTCCTCGAGGGCCCTCGTCATGTTCAGACTGCAGCTCCCAAGGCAGTCAACGCAAGACCCATCAAAAGTGGCCGAAAAGAACGAGGCACGTGCGCGCGGGACTACACGCGCACAACGCCCTTGGCGCTCGGGGAGGCGAACGCGGGAAAACGAAGGTTGGGCCCCCCTCACAACAAAAATAAGAAACAGAAGAACAACACAAATAATACTCAACAACTGCATAACCCACAAAGGTCTTAAGTCAAATCCTTTTGCATAGTGGGAACTATTCTTATTGCGCGGGCTGATTGACGGATCGGGAACGATAACACGATTGTGACAATAATTCGTCTCCTGCGGCGGCCACTACTGGGATTCCGATGGGTTCCTCAGAGTCCAAGGAATCCCTAAGGATTCCGATGGATTCGTAGGAATCCTACGGATTCATACGGATTCCTGAGGATTCTCAAGATTCCGAAAGGATTCCTAAGGCTTCTTCAGGAGGACGGGAAGAGGGCGAGGAGGGGAGCATGAGAATGAGGGCGAGGAAGGAGAGCGAGGAGGAGGAGGGCGAGGAGGAGAGGGACGAGGAGGGGGAGGACGAGTTGAAATCGGCGCGCTCTCCAGATCGCGAACATAGATTAGTGATATTGCGTCCGCCGGGCACACGCTAATATATACTAGGGATGCGTGGATCTGGCGCGTGGGCGCCAGGTGCACGGATCGGGTAAGGCAGCCCCAGAAACATGAGGCTTACCGCCTGATCTGGAGTTCCACCAGTCTTCAACCAACTTCCGCCGCCAGAGCCGTCCTCGCTTTGCCTCCGCCGCCCTTCCGCCGGCCCTCCACCACCACCCCACCGAGGAAGAGGTGCGGGGATGCCAATCTCTCTCGGCCGTTCGAAGGCTCGGCCTTTGTTGAGCGTCCTACGTGTTCCCCGTAATGGCTTAACTATTGCTCCCCATCCCTCGGCTGCACGCAAGAGTGACCCTAGACAAGACTGGCCTTTGGTGCGCGGCGGAAAAGCCAAACCCAAACGCGCAAGCCACGGAGCCTGCCCGCGCGGCTCCCGCCCAGCGGCGGGGTCGCCCCGGCGCTGCGGCCGGGCGCTGCCCAGCTGCGCGCCCGCTCTCCCTGGCGCGCGGGGCCCGCGCTGCAGCTGCCGGCGCTGCCGGGCGCACGGCCTTGGCGACGATCAAGTTGAGCCGACCATGCGAGGGCTGGCCGTGCGGGGGCTGAACTGGAAGTCGCCCGCCGGGTCCTCAGAGGCGGTCCCGTAGGTCTCAAGGGCAGACTTCCAGGCCGCCACTACAGCTGTCAGCACAGACGTCGGCGGATCGGCCTTCGGTCGCTGAGGACGGAGGAGGTAGCCTGGGACTCCAGAGACAACCAAACGCGACTCGGTGGGATACCTCGGGCGCTGCATCAATTCCGCAATCGTCATCTCTGAATCCCCGGGCATGGTGCCCACGCATGCCCCGCGATCCTCGCATGGAGAGCCCGCTACGCCGTTGACTAGACTCAAGGTGGCAATGGCGTATGGTGCTCCCTCTCGGCGACTGCTGCGAGCCGATGATAGCACTTCCTTGCCAGCCTTCTCATCATCACCGCAGCCAGGGGGCCTCTTAGCGCCCTGGTCCTCAATGCTACCACCTTGTCTGTCTCTGCGTGGGCTCTGTCTCGGGCTCCTGTCGTCTGCCAGCTCTTCCCGTACCACCTCGGCGTTCATAAAACCGACGTCGATGCCCATGTACACGCGGACGGCATCTCCTGCCTTGTAACGAGTCCTCACCAGCTTGGCTGGCATGTTCTTGATCATCCTGCACTCTTCTACGCCCTGCCTCGGCATGCTCGTCGGGGCCAGGACTGCAGGCGGCCTCGCTGAGCTTCTGGCGGATGCTTCGCCCTCCTCCTCCTTCGTGCCGACGTCCGTGCACTGCACCGAAGCACCAACCTGCTTGTTCTTGCGCCTTATCTCAAGATCCTCCTGCAGCTTAGACGTGACGTATGTCTCCCCATCGTCGGCGAGGTCGTCCTCCAGCTCGATGTCGTACCCGTTCCTGGGATCGGCATCAATCATCGACCTGCGGATGAAAGCGGGGAAATACTTACCGTGCCTATGCGAAAACACGCTCACCGATTCCCCTTCAACGATCGGTAAGCGCAATTGCTTCATCGCAACGCCGCGTATCAACTCCCCGACCGAACGCACATACACATCGTAGTTCAGAGTGGTGAACTGTAGATCTCGGTCGAAGTATGTGCCCCTAGAATCGATGATCTGGGCTGGAAGCCATGTCTGTAGGGTTGACGACCAGTACTCCACTTTCTGTGTTCTGTGGTATGCGTGGTGTAACGCGCTGGCGCGCGACAGCGTTTCTGCGCAGGGGGTCGTTTTCTTCTTGGGTTTTTGCGTCGATGTCTTCTTGCCGATCACCTCCTCTCTTGGGATTTTCAAATCATACGCGAACCACGCGCGCCTTTCTCGCTCATTGTGCCATCTGTACTCCTTCCACGCGAGATAATCAATGTCACCGTCGTAGAGGGGCCCCTCCCCCTGCTCTTCCACCGGGAGCACCTCGAAGCCGCTGCTATGCAAATCGTCGAACAAAGGGTACAATTCGTTGAACTTGCCGTTTCTCGGCACATTTTCGGCGCCGCGGACGAGGATGGTATCGGGGTTGTCAACAACGCCGCAAAGACCTGCTGCTTCGAACTTGCCGTCGACCGTAAGGAAGTACTTGCCCAAGTGCTCTTTGTACCCGACCGAAACTTTGTGCGGCGAGCCGTCAACAATGTCTGTCTTTCCAATGATGTAACTCTCGCCGACATACCAGGCAAGTTTGCCATGCTTGATCATCAGAACCTTCGGCTTGCCTGTGCCGAACAGCGGTTCGTCAGTGGGAAAAACCTTGCCGAACAGAAGCGAATCCCTGGACTTGGTCCTCACCTTCAAGTCAAGCTCGAAGTCCATTGTGCCGCTCAAATTGAGGTCCACCTTCCAGATTGGGTCCTCCGCGTCGTCCAATGGAATCAGGTTGGCCAGACCCGGCTTGCGGTCCTTGAAAGCCGCCGGCCCCCTTGTGGGGTCACCATGCTGGGCTAGGGTTTGCTGTTCCCTGCGCCAGTTCCAGTTGCCAGTTTCCACAGTTACAGTTCTGCTTCTTGCTGCTTGCTGTTCCTTGTTGATGGACCGCGCGAGGAGGGGGAACCGAAAACCGTCCCGATTACCACGCCCGAATCGCGTTGCCTGAATTCCTGGGGGGGCCTTGGACGCGTAAACATACAGGAAATTCGCACCCCCGAAGCCACGCACCCTAGTACATTACACAAGATTCGCGTCCCCGAGGCCATCAACCCTTGTGAATTACGCGGTACTCGCGTCCCCGAAGCCATGAACTATCGCAAAATACACCCTGTTCGTGTCCCCGAAGCCATACACCTTTGTAAAATATGCAATACTTGCGTCCCGAGGCAACAAGCGTTCGTGAATCACGCAACGTTCGCGTCCCCGAAGCCACAAACCCATGTCAATTTCTGATGCTCGCGTCTCCGAAGCCGTAAACCTTTGCGAAACACGAAATGCTTGCGCTCCCGATGCAATAAAGAATTTGAGCTCACTTAATATCCGTGTCACCGAAGCCAGAAACCCTCGCAAATTACATTATATCCGCGCATCCGAAGCCATACACCTTCGTAAATTACACGGTATTCGCGTCTCCGAAGCCATAAACTTGTGTAACTCACGTTATAGCTGCGACCCCGAAGCCATACACCTTCGTACGTTACAATATATTCTTACGTGTCCGAAGCCATACACCCTCGCAACATGCGCCATGCTCGCGTCTCCGAAGCCATAAGCCTGTGCAAATGATGCTGTAGTTGTGACCCCGAAGCCATACGCCCTTCCAAATTATTTTACGCTCGCGTATCATCATCGTTCAAAATGCAACACTGAGTTCAACAATATCATCAGAATCTCAATTTCTCTCGCCGATGCTGGTTCACGGCGGCGCCGAGGCCTCATGATTTAGTTCTTGCGTAGCCCATCATCCGAGAGAGGGGGCTGGCGGCAGGGGGCGAAGCCCTTGCGGATAGTCGAACTGGGCTATCTCGCCCGGGGTCAGGTCGTAGTGCAGCCTCGTCTTTTGCTGGCCGTCTGCACCAATACATCCTTCCGTCCTTGTCCACAAGACATCAACGCTTTCGCCTGACGGATCCAAGCCCCTAACAGGAACAACTCCACGCGTCGGTGTCACATTCATTCTCCGAAACAATCTAATCCCGACGCAACAGATGATCATGGACGCGACGACAACCGCAATGATCACGACGCCGGCCTGGCGGTCGCAACCCTCGCCAGTGACGGGGTCAGGGCCAGAAGGGCAAGTCCAATCGTAGGGGCATGAAATGTACTGTTCGCACTCCTTGATGTCGGGCATATACGTGTTCATGATGAAGTCAGGCGGGGCGTTCATATTGCATAGATTAGGGACGCCAGTCAAGCAGTCCACCTTGCGGGTCTGCTGCCCAATGCCGCACAAGGTGCTGCGCAACGACCAATCTGTGCGTGCCACCCAGCGCGGTACTGGAACGGACACGATAGTGGACAAGGGTGTCCCGACGACGAACGCAGCAGTGTCGAGACCTGGTGGAGCACTGATGCGGGCATCCTCCAGGGCAGCGACGAGCTCCCTGATGAAATTGCCCCCGCTTGCGTTGAGGCTGATCAGGCTCCCTGCCAAGGCAGTCGCAGAATTTGCGCTGTACAGCTGGAGCACAAACTCGATCCACAGACCATGCGATGTCGCCAAACTCCGCAGTAACATGCCGGACTTCCAATTAGAATTCAGATCCTGGAACATGCTTATGTATGTCTGGGCCGGAAACAAACCGAGGACTGCGCTGAACGCGTTGATCAACTCAATCCGTATTCTGGCGCTTCTGGCCCAGTCGGCGGTAATGCCTGAATTGGGGATGCTCTCGACGAGCGCCACTCTCACGAGCAGGCTATCTGCCGAACCGAGCGCCTCTACTTCTGAAGGGGATGCGCAGAGCAGCGGGGCCACGTCGAAAGCGCCCCGCGTGCAGGTTACTGAGGCGACGAGCTCAAGCGAAGAACTGCACACGGGGAAGCAACTCGCGCCGCTGGCGATGTCGACGCATGTTGAGTTGTCCGCCACGTTCGGCATGTATGTAGGGGAATGAATAATGACATAGACATAAAACTCGGAGGTTCGCGCGGATTTCTCGGATCCGCGCTGGACCCCCCTGCCTGGCGGGCGGCGTCGTAGGCGCCGCTGGGGGGGTCCAGCGCGGATCCGAGAAATCCGCGCGGACCTCCGAGCTTTATG